GTTTATTCGTAAATTAATAAAGTACGAGATTAAAATTTTTTTTTTTACTCTATAACAATAGGATTGAACGATATAAATAATTAGTTGAAGTTATAACCAGTAATGGTCGTTTAATTGTATACTTTTCATTCTCAAATGTAATATGATGATGAGCATCACTACCAATCTATTGACATATATCAAAATAAATATTTAAATCGAGAAAATTGATAGCTAATTCAAACGAAAATGAATGGCGATAAATGACCCTGGAAAAGAGTATAAAGTAATTTGGCTTGGCGGGGGCAGTCTCGGCAGAAAAAGTAATAAAGCTCGGTTGACTCCTAAGGAGAAAAGTCGCGAGGATAAAAAGTTGAAAAGGTACTTTTGTTAAAGAGCGCGATTGCCGGGCATTGAGGGGGTGGAAAGGGGAAGAGCTTGAAAGCTCTCGCGTCTCAAAGCACGCGCTTTGCCGTCCCCCCTACCCCCGCAAGCTCTTGAAAGCTCTGAGAGCCCGATTGGCCGAGTCAAGAGCTCGGCAGTATTGGTGATTGGCCAGAGTGGGCGAGGCCAGCGCTAAACTAACCTGACCTACGGTCCCGCAGGCTCCTCCCCCTCGGAATCAAGGGCTTTTCCGTAACCTCTGCAGCGGCGGGGGGACGCTCCAATTGGGAAAAGAAGAGCCAAGAGCGCGAGAAGCACACTTGAACGAAGCACACTCGGGCCGAAGGGTGCGATGCGCGCCCGTGCCTATGATAGTCCGTACTCCAGCGTCGTTGGCGTCCCTTCGGGTGGTGCGCGGGAAGCTCGCAAGTCGTGCGGCCAGACGAACTAGCCGTATGCGCGAGAGGATGGAGGAGGCGACGTCGCCCAAAGTCGGGCAGCCGACACCTTTCAGCATCGCGGACATCCTGAACAGGCGAGAGAAGGCTCAGGAGCTGGAGGAGAAGAAACACTCGGGGCGGGCGTTCGAAGGCTACCGTGGCCAGTACCTGGGGCTATCCTCGCCCGAACTCAGCATCGTTAAAGAACTCGATCTACTGCGCCGGAATTTGGCCCAGGCGAATCTCTCGGGCTTTCACGAACTGTCGACTATTGAAAAGCCCAGCTTCAAGCCCGTCGAGAATTTCGGCTTCCACCGAGCGCCCAAAGAAGTGAAGGAACATCATCGCCAGCAGGATGAAGCCCTGGACATGAGCAAAAGTAAATACCTCGGTGAGCGACGACCGTGGCTTAATATACAGTGTACCATTGTCATTTACAATATGAAATAGGTGAACTACTCTAAGAAAATGAGAAGCGAATAAAGCGGCTGAACGTTATTTTAGTATCATAAGTGCCACTTGACTCGGCAGACGTCAGAAGTGCTTAAACTACTACACTTTAAGCACTTGTACGGACTAGGCTAACACTGCTTTTTCCTCCTCTCCCTCATTACGAAACTTTTTTTTTATTTAATCCACAGCTCGTTTCGCAAGAACTTTTCATAAATATTTCTAACATTAAACCATTTGAGTGTATTTTCTTTTTTCTTTTCTTTTCTTTTTTTTCTTTCTTGATTTTTCTCATTTTTTTTTATTTATTTAATTTTTTCGATTTATTAATTAATTACAAAAATATTTTCATCATATTTTTTGTTATATTTCATTCGTTGGTTTATTATTGATTGTATTATTATTGAATGTACCATTGATGTGGTAAGTCAACTTTTTTTAATTTGCAGATAACCGTTTACATCATGTCATTTTATACGAATTTAAACAATCAAGAATCGTGAAACTATAAATATCTCAGTATGAGCTATTAAAATACGTTACTTGAATATATTTCATTTTTTAAAGAAAATTTTTTTTATAACTTAAACATTGTCCTATGAATTAAATAGAATATATTACCTTATAATGTAACGAATACAATCATTATTGAAAAATATTACAATAAATCTATTACATCATCAATAATAAATGGCAACTTATAAATGTGACATTTCAATATATAATGTAAATTAATACTTCTATCGTCTATAGAATTTTTATTCAATATAAAACATCCATACTATTTGTGATTATCGATTGTGGAAAATTATATTAGGCTTTTATGAAACATGATCTTTTTCAAAAGATGAAATAAAAATTGAAAATAAATAATGTAGATTAAAATAATTTTTAATGGATATATCCGATTGAATTCATGGTACGAATTGAATTGACGGTAAATATACAGTTTAATATCTTTGTTCAAATGAATTTAGATTATGAAAAAAGTTATTTACATACAGAGAATTTATTTTTGGTAAAAATTTTATAATAAAATCTATATTTAAGCTTAAAAACGAATTTTTTCGCTAATCGAGAAATCGAGAACTTTCATAGAATTGAGTTATCATAGCTGTAATTGTATTAAATATTACGAAATATTTGTAACAATATTTTTATTTTAGAATTAGTATTTATTTTAGAATAAAAATTTAAATACATTTGACATGTAAAGTATCTGAGATTTGACACAAAAGTTTATCCAAGCAGAAATTATTTAATTATCTCTGATTACATTATCAAATAGATTTCTAGTATTTTCAAGCATACTTAGCCCTCCAGCTTTATGGTGTATGCGTAGTGAGGATGAGAGAGGCGGGGAACAGAGTAGGAAAAAAAAGAGAACCAATCATGCCCTTCTATCATATATTTATCTTTGTTAAGTAATATATTGACACCTAATTCATATATTACTATGACGATTTATCGATTTCTACTTTAAGAATTGTTGACTTATTATACACTTTAATTAAAGCTCTAATAATAAAAGACGTAGAATGGATCAACTGGTAAACATAAAGAGAAACAGAAATCGAACGCAGGTAAATAGAGCGAGCCAATGAATGTGTCGGTAATTAACTAATGCTTTCTCATCGGTGCCGGTGGTCGAGAAGTAGTTGGAACGAGTTGGCACCAATTCATTGTGGCGCATTCGAAAAATTGCCAGCCCTTTCTCTTTCTTCTTTGTGAAACACCTTCGTTCAAAGGCCACTCAAAGCTTTTCCAGCTCGAGCATTCCGCGCCTCCAATGATTTGCAAGAAAATCCTATCTCTTAAGTGTTAGGCAATCTGGTCTTTTTTTTTTTTTTTTTTTTTTAACAACCCCCTGGAAGCGCAAAGCAATGTTTTACTTAATTATTTACTTTTACTTTGCTTTCGTCGTTATTTACAGCGACGTTTGAATCTTTTGTTTTTCAATAGTGGATTTTTGATAATTGATTTGGTCACGACTCCCAGAATTGGTGAGAGTAAGTAATATGACACCGAACTCTCAATATGTTTGACAAGCATCAAAGGCCTATCGCATTAACCGATGGGGTGACAAGATTTCCAAACATGACCTCGTAGTTGCTCGAATATAGAGCAACTAGAGTATTCCGCAAATAAAGCTCGTATATACAAGTTCCTGAGGAGTATAACGATTATTATTTTAAGCTAATGTTCAGCTACATTTAGTAAGTAAGCGTTATTTTCCTGTCACGCAATTACCGATAACGTACATTTATATCTAATGGAAATGTAATAAAAAACAAATGGATCATTGAAAATATTCCGTTAATATAAGGTAAATGAATTTCAATCTAAAAATTGCTAGAAAATGATGAATATTTTCAATGATGTATATATATATATATATATATATATATATAGTCAAGAGAAAAAGAGAGTATAAAATCTACAAATAAAGAATCAATGAAACAGAGTTAATTTTTCATCCCAAGATACTCTTACAGACTTGACTTAAGCGCAAACTCACGATCGGAAAAATAGTGTATTAAACGCGGACAAAAAGAAAAGGAGCGATTAAGTAGAGAAGAAATTCATCGGTGAATGATTTAACGAATAGTCCCATTCCTCCCAGGCGTCATAATTTGAGCGCCGTTTATTCTTGTGCACCGAGGCGCCATTATTTCTATTTCGCCGTACACAAGCCATGTGCACTTCACTGGATGTCGCTGGATATGCCAAGGGGAACCTACCGAGTAGCAAAGGGTAAACAAATTGAAGTAGCAACTCGGACGGCACGTGTTAATGTTTGAGCTAAAGAGATCATAAGCCAGTGAAATTATTTTTTTCAACTGCGCTTGTTAACTTTAGCCCTCCTCCCTTCCATATACAATAGCCTTTCTTTATTATCAACTTTCAATAATAATTTTACCACTGGTTCGTTAATTACAAGGAAAAAATTATGTCTCCAAGTTGCTTTTATCACTTTTTTTTTGTTTTTTTTTTTTTGTTTTATTAGTTCAGTGTTTTATTTTTTCAATGCAGAGACCCCTCGATTGCGTATTAGATCATCCAAGTGTCGAAACACGAGTAACAGCTAATAAGATTTAAGATTAATAAAACATTAAATCGATTCTTAATTGGCCATATATCATCCAACACATTAATTTATATTCTCCCGGTAAAAATAAAATAAATAATAATAATAATCATCATAACAACAACAATAACAACAACAACAACAACAACAACAACAACAACAATGGAAATAATAATAATTATAATTATAATTATAATGATAAAAGATCAAGTGTTTTACATTCAGCTATAAATATTTGAATTTCAGACGACATGGAGGATGAACTCTTCGAAGCTCAATGTCATGGACAAAATTTGCCAGGGCGCAAAAAGCGCAGTAGAGCTGCTTTTTCTCACGCTCAAGTCTACGAGCTCGAAAGGAGATTTGCAGCGCAGAAATATCTCTCGGGTCCTGAGAGAGCAGATTTGGCAAGAGGACTTAAGTTGACCGAGACGCAGGTTAAGATCTGGTTTCAAAATCGACGGTAAGTTCAATTCTGACTAATCGAACTATAATTCACATAATCCATTCCCGTTCTGTAAATCAGATTCTTTATCTTATTTAATCCAATTGATCAATCTCAAAGTTTCAGGACAAATTTTATAATTTTAAATAACGGGAAATTTTTTTTATAATTTTATATAAATGGTATTAATATAATGTTTATTCTAAATAATTTACTTAAAAATAATTTCTAATTTGCTTCATCATAATTGTTTTTCTACGCCAAATTTTCTACATAATATGTTATGATATAACTAGTTTGACATTTCGACTTTGGAATTTCGAATTCGGAAGGCTTCGTCGTTTAAGATAATCCATAATGTACTATTAATACAACCTATTCATATAAAATTATAATTATAAGCTAATAATGATTATTACTATATTATTAACAATTTACTAATAAATAGTTGAACATTAATATTTATAGAATTATTATTAAAGCGTAATTGAGATAATGAATGAATGAAGTACATATACCAAATTATTCTTTATTTTGAGCAAATAAATTTTTGAGGACGTGCATTTATTTTTAAAATTTCTAAATTCTCAAATAAATAAGTTCCAAGGATATAAACTGCTTTATGAAATTTAAAGGATAATTTGTATTCTTCGAAGGTCATATTAATAAGCAATAAGATAAAAGGGAAACGAAGGGAGGATTAACTTTTGAAAAAAGAAAATTGACGCAAATTGGGAGTTCGCTCGTAGATATAAGACTAAGCGGCGCCAACAACAAGAGCTCGGTGCTCTCGTGAACTCAAGCGCTGCTCGACGGGTAGCGGTGCGCGTCTTGGTGCACCCGGATGAGCATCTTCATGGGCTACCGACACCACTTCGAAGCTCAGCGAGCCTATTACCGACCTCGGCCCAGCTTCAGCAGCACTCAGCAACTTCCGTTCCGGGTAAGCCGGGCCTCGCCACGGGCTTTCCCTATTACTGTTTGCCCTATCACCCCCTACTCTGCAGCTCTGCAGCTCTCCATCACCACACAGCCACAGCAGTACAAATGCACCACGACCCGGATAGCCCCAACGGTCCGAAAATTAATGTAGACAAGCTCTAGGATCTTGATTTTTTACCTCTCGAGCTGCGTCCGTTCTGCAATCTTTTTCCAAAGATAATTATTATAAAATAGCTTCTTCTTCTTCTTCTTACACATTCTCACATTGTTTAATTAGAGACAAGAATTTGTAATAATTTTAGAGTCGAAGAACGCTATTACTTATCAAAGTTATCCATTGCACGTATGCGATAGTTGCTGATTGGCAGATTTTATGTTTAACGCGGCAGCGTCACGCGTCATGTGTTGCCTCTGTCTTGAAAGACAAAATAGAACACCGAAGACATCTAATATTATTTATAATTTATGCTTCATGTAACATTGTTCGAGAATCTTGCTGTTAATTTTGATAAATTAAAGTTGCTAGCTATGAGAACCATGTAAAGTTAAAATTCGAGCCACTATATATAATGAATTATAATTCATTGAATTATTAACTTGGTTAGGCAATAACAAAATCCTTTTATCGATACAATTGAGAATACGTACGCTAAAAAAACGTGTATTTAACTTCAATAGAGGAAGCAGTCTTGTATATTAGTATGTAAATAAGTGTATAAATACATGATTAAATATATGTAAAGAGTGGAGGAATTAAAATAAAGAGTCTGCAAAGTAAGATAAAATATCTAGTGTACAGAGTACATTATGTCGAACCCTCTCTTCCTTTACAGGTAATTTATTTGTCAATGGTACATTAATGCCTTGCTGAGAGACAAAGCACAAAAATTTTCTCAATTTCCCATAGGTAGCTGAGGCTGATTGTAGTTGATGGCGTAAAACGACATGTAACGTGAAAGTAAGATCCCAGCAAGGAGTGACTCGAGTATAGATTAAAGGGACCGCGAATGAAAGCATTGCGTTTTTCCCTCGTCCCAAGTGTCTTTACAACGGCACAGTGGCGCCAGTCAGTACGGGTGGCCTCATCCGACACAGGATATGTTTATTTAGAGGCTGGAATCAGCCGAAAACGGTCTCCTATTATCGAAAGGGGACAAAAAAATGAAAAGCTACGCGATCTGACACTTGCTGGCTAAACATAGAAAATTTAATATACGATTGAGAAAAGGTCGCAACTCATACGTATTCTTGACTTCTATATTTTTCCTTCACATTATAGCTTTTCATCCGTACTTTAATACTTCTAATATTCTTACTTTCGCTCATTTATTTCACTCATCCCTTTCTTTTCTATTACTCCTTTTCTATTATATATCATACTATGGATTGAAAAAGGAGATGCAATTTTGATAAATGCTCTCCCTTAAATTCCCCTGTTTAATAAATCTAATCATTACTAACTATATCTCCTTCAATGTGAAAAAGTTAAACAATTGACGTTTACGCATTATACGGACTTTTTTAAAATATCTATTAAACAATATAAATTAATTAAATGATTTTATAAAATTTTATTTAAAGTTATATTTTGAGGTTTAATTCCTTTTTTCTTCTTCTTCCTTTTTCTTTTCTTTTTTTTTTTTCAAATGTGATATTCTCCTAAAAACGATGTTATATAGTAACGGGTAATATAATAATCAAATTATACAACTTGACATCCACATAAAAATAATCATATCTTACTTCACGATTGAATTTACAATGCTTTTAAATATATTGTCAAATACCTTATAAAATCATAAAATTACAAGCAATATTGTTAATTATAAATAAAAATTTTAAATTCATATTAGAATTTTTTTATTCTTTTGTTAAAATATGCTACTTACGATATTACTAAAAAATATTTAATTTAAACATAGTACAGAGATATCTAATTCAATGAAAATAATTACCGAGTATAGAATGAGTCTCTGCTATACCCCCCTTGAAGTGTCATAAAACACAACTAAAGAGAAATAAGAACATTCTCTTTCTACTTTAATCTTTTCCGTACCCGGAATATTAAATTAAATTAAAAAAAAAAAAAAAAAAAAAAAAAACCGTGATTTAATTTATAGATCTACGTAAAAATAAAATATAAATACTAATGGAAATTATCTAAATGAACGCATTATTTTTGGCATAATCTACAACATAAACAAAGTTTTTGCTCGTTTGTAAGGATGTCTCGAAAATAATGAAAGTAAGTACGAAATAGAATGAGTGATTAGAACGCAGCTCTCTTGAGACACATCATCATACCCATGATATTTTTTCAAAACAGATGGAAAAAACTTTATAGTCGGTTCTGCAGTCCATTACCGTTTTGTTTATAACAATTCGTAAACAGTGCGAAGCCATAATGCTGCTCGATATGTCCATGAGGCCAGTGACGATGCTGAGACCCCAACAACTCTGAAGCAATAGTACATGAGCAAGATCTTTAGGAAAACAGCGACTTAACGTTCTGCGGCTTCGTATATTTTACATTTCTGTGGTATCGCTATAAGAGAAGCGCTTCGACTCGAGTTTCGGTACTTTTTCTAAGCGTTTGCGAAACTGTGCGTTCCAACTCTAAGCAGTACCTCTCGGATGTAAGCTCCTCGGTGTAAACAGAGCTTTTAACATCGAAAACATTGTTTGCTAAATTTACCGTAACATTCTCCTACTTCTTCGTCGTTCTGTTATACGACGCTTCAAATATCAAAATTTGTTTATTATCCCTATCAGTAATTATTTCTGTGGACAACGTTGACTTCGACAAGCCGACTTGTTTACATAAGCACATATAGTCAAACTAATTTTATGTTGCTTATTGATATAACATAAAACGATTCATCCGTAATCATATACTATTGCTACTAAAAATCTATTCACAATATTTTAGACCAAATAACACTTGTTCATCGATACTCTCAATTTCAATATTTTTCCTTAAAATAAGCACCCTACCGCTAGTTTTTAGTAGAAAAAATACTTTGAAAAGCATATTTTTTATTAATTATGAAAGTAATATATTTAAAATTGTTTAATAATTAATTTAAAATAGTTAAAATCTGTGAAATAAATTAATTGAAGGTATAACGACAAATCGATCAAATTAAATAATTAATAATTGATTATAATATTAACAATTATTATAAAAATACATTGATCTTAAAATTTTTGAATTTTAAAGATATATCATGAACATTGGATTAAGAAAGGTAAGAAATCTTGTCTAAATCATTTTAATCGATTATTTGTATACACAAAACAATTAAAGTAAGAAAAATATAAGGCTTATAGAAAAAGAAAGTAAACATTGAACTTCGATCAAATTTTCCTAATTAAGGTTTACTAGAAATATTCAACTATTTTAAAAATTACTTCAAAAATAAATTGCATAATAAGTGTGGATACGAAAATTTAATATATACAGTGACATAGTTATTTATAAAAAAATAATCTGTTAAAATGTATTAATGATGAAAATATATAAATTTTTCTAATTTATAAACATGATCTAAAGTCTTATTACAAAAAATTAAAGATATCCTAATTACACCGAAACATTCCAAATACATTGAAAAATTGTGTAATTAATATGCAATAAAATCAATCGAATCATTAAATATTTTAATTTTGAAAAAATTACCTAATTTATACGAGAAGTCATTAAAACATCATTTATTGATCGATCGTTGAAAAGTGTAATTAACTAATTATTTCAAAGCTTCTAACTAATCTATAATAATGCGATAACTCTAATTTTATGAATGTTAGAACAAAAAAAGTGGTATAAAAAAGTTGAAAAATATATTACCGAGCAGGTATTTGAAAAATATTAATGAATAAATGATAAAACAGAGTAACTACAAGAAAAACATAATTTTGTGATAAATAAACTTGTTAAATTATGGAGTAATTTAACAAAAAAAAAAACTAAATCATATAAATTGAGAAAAGTAAGAATATATTCAGCGATGGACGAAATATCCTTTTTTCATACATAAATTCATATATTCGATATAGAGTATAGAATTTCAATACAAAAAAGGTACATAGTCTTGTAATAAATAAAAAAGAATAACAATAACAATAATAACGACAATAATAATAATAACAACAATAATAATATAAATATGAATAATGCTTACAGACTATGTAATAATATTTATATCTTTCGTAATTTAAAAACGAATCGATAGCTTTCTTAATTAATAGATTAAATATTATTTTTAATATAAAAATTTAAACTGCATTTATTATTTTGAGAATTGAATCTCAATGCAATAAATATACATTAAGTAATCTTAACAATTATACTTCATAAAATTGGACATGATTAAAATTAGTTCATCTATTCTTGAGTTCTAAGAGCTTACGTACATATACATTGATGTACGCATGCACTAAATTCGTAGTGACCACGTATTTTTCATTTCGAAAAGAAAATTATATTTTTCAAGCTCTGTTATGAATATAAAATTAGTTCTAAAATGATAATGATTATTGTTAAAAATTCTCTTTCTATGTTAATCGAATTATATATTGCTATCAATTCTGAGATCTCTGCTTTTAAAAAGGACTAATGAAAATTGTAAATATAAACGCATATATGAAGTAAAGTCAAATTTACAAATTTGCTTTAAAACATTAAAAATCATCAAATTTCACTATTAATTTCTAAAAATAAAACCAGTTAAAATATTAAAATAAAAATATTATTTGACATTTTCTTCCTATTTTTTAGGGAAAGTGAATATTTTATTTAATTTGTCATTAGTTTAAAAATAAATTTTTTGTTCACGCAGAGATAGGAAGTAAAATGACCCAAGAATCGATTATACATTCAAATTTAAATTCATGTGTTCTTGATTCGTGTCGATTGTCATAGGTACATCTGACGATTTTTATTTTTTCCGACTGGAAATCATTCGTAGTATAATCGGTAATCCGTACAAAATATAACGCTCACCGCTTATTTGCACTACATTTTCCTTTTTCAAATATGCAAAATTTTACAAAATCTTGCTAACATTAATTGTAATATCTAATATATTCTATAATTTTACGTTACGTAATTAATACATTATGTTATTCCTATAATACACTTAATATAATATACGTACATATGTATATAATATTAATATTATAAAATATATAACGACGTAATTAAACGCATTATGAAAATGT